CTGTGTTGCCATACTTCACTCTCTGTATAGTGACACAAAAATGTCAAGAGCACTGTGTTATAATTTTCAGTTTATGACCAAAATATAAAAAAATAATATTGTAACCACTGGTCGTAAATCATTGGTTCCAAAGACTTAGTAATCCGTACTTTACGAGCAGCAAATTAGTAAAAAGGTAAAGAAAGACTCAAACCACAGTTCCCATTTCTGCTCCTAATTTTTAAGCTATGCCTGTTTAGAACAAACATTCATTCATTTATCTCAGTCCATCAGAGCTGTTAACAGTAGCTAATACATTTTGGGAGCATGTCTGTCTCAGCCTATAAATATTATTTCCTTGTTGACAACGATACTTGTTACCTTTTTAGTGCTGTTGTTTTACTGCATACTTAATCTTATCTTGCCAATCCTTTATCCCAGCTATTATCAGAAGTCTTACTATTAATTTAGTTTGTTGGACTTTTGTGTTTTACTCTATCACTATTACATATTCCTTTGACAATAGTGTCTATTACGCTTTTGTGCTATAATTCATACTGTATTCTCACCATGATCTACTGAGGTTTTCACTGCAAGATTATAAATGTTACTTATTTTGTGACCACTATTTCTATTGCAGTGTTAGTGCTGCACCTTACATTCTTAATTTCTGTCATAAATGTCGTGTATTGTATGATTATGTATTTGTAAACATTATTTTATGTGTTCATTCACGGTGTAGCCATAATTTCCCTTTGGAAAATAAAATATTATCTCATCTGATATTAACTTACCTTACCTTTCCTTCACGTTTAAGTCAATTCAAAGTTGATTAATCTTTTATGAGCCTTTTTACAAAACATTTATTCACCCCCCTTGAGTTATAATTTTTAGTTTATGACAAAAATATAATAAAATATTCACTGAAATATTATCTCATCTGATATTACCTTATCTTATCGCATCTTATATGACCACCTACCCCAACCAGATACGACTTTGTACCACTTCGAGTTCTTCTGTATAGAATATTAACTTGGCTTCATATTCCTAAGAACTGACCATTAGGGAGTAATGAAGAACATGGAAAGAAAGTATTTCCTAGCAGGAACCAACGAATTTTTCACACAAAACATTTTGTCAAGATGTCCACAAAACCATCAGCAATCAAATAGCATATTCTCTTTAAAAGCGAGTGAAACAAAAAGAAAAGAAAAGAAAAGCGTTTTGAAGTGGATCGTGTCTTTAGTGTGTAAGTGCATTACCCAGGTTGTAGTTTCTGTTAGCCGTTATCTTGACTGGAGACCAGGCAGTTCCCTTATTGCAAAAATTATATTCGGATTCCGTACACGTATACTATTACGGTAGTTTAGCATGGTGACATCCTGGTACAGAAAATGCAAGCTGAATTCAGTAACCTTGTTTTAATCCTTTCGATGCTTACTTGGAACCTTACTTGCACGGGGATTCGTTAAAATAACACTAACATTCACCATCTTCTTCCAAGTTTGACGCCACAGAAGACATGTTTCGTTACTGGAGTGTGTATTTATTTATTTATTTATTTATTTATTACTGAGAAAACTGTATCAAAAACTGTGTCGAATTCGAAGTATTTTCGCAGGGCCTCTCAAGAACCTGTTTCATAGCAGGAAAACGTAACAGGTACAAGTCGGAGATATTCACGATTCGTCGTTATATGGACAGAAAAATGCCGAGTGCTACCTTAAACCCCTATCTTCCCCCTGTCCCCCTAATAAACAGGCACACTTCTTACCAGAAATATTTTCTCCACGTAATGGTGGTAAATACGATTCTCTCACCCATGATCATATCTAATTTTATTATCTATCCAAACTGAAGAGTGCCGTGATACAATACAGTTCAACTGAATTCACTTACTGTTGAAACCAGATAATATCGATCTCTATCATGCAAAGTTCGCGTCAACCAATATCGATCACTATCATGCAAAGTTCGCGTCAACCAAATTAGGCAACACCTGGTAAATTTGCATAATACCCAGGAAATGCGTCTGTGGTAAATTTGAAGAGTGAGTGAGTGAGGTTAGTATTATGCCGCACTCAGCAATATTTCAACAATATGGTTGCTATCTGTAAATAATTGTGTCTGGACCAGACAATCCAGTGATCAACAGCATGAGCATCGATATGCGCAATTTGGAACAGGTGACATGTGTCAACCAAGTCAGCGACTATGATCACTCGATCCCGTTTGTCGCCTCTTACGGCGACCATGGTTTACTGAAGATCAATTCTTCAAGGGTCTGATTACGATAATCTTGGTTACCGAGATAGAAGATCATTTTATAGAGCCCAAAGCAAACTTTACACTCTAAATGAAGGATAGATGAGACAATCACGCTAAACCTTCTAAAACGTTCCGGTTTCATTTATACCATCTCGATTTTGGAATTTCGTTTCGTACACAGTTCTAAAATGGACAATTATATGCCCCTTTGCGATCTATCATTCTCCCTTTTTGGTGTAAATTCCATTCAATTCTCCAACAGTAATTTGTTATCATATCCATGGCAGGTACGTGAATGTTGTCATAATTATAATCCAATATGCTTGTCTGAATGCATTGCAAACTCGTACCAGACATTTGGAAGCCTCGACGATGATTGGCAAAAGAGAAAGATCAGATGACCCAGTCTCTTACAGCTTGTTCAGTTTGACCTAAGCTACTCTACATATGCATGACCCGGTAGGTCAAATGGTAAAAACGGCAGGTCGAGTTAACTTCATTAAATAGGTGAGCAGAGAATGTAATTAATGCTGCGTTCGTGCGAAGCATGCATAAATGGATTCGTTACAGAACTTGTCCTGGAAAACTTCTGAAAAAATAATCATTTCATGTTTTTCTTGAATTGTTTATGCAGTCATATGCTATGCTATCTAGCTTGGTTTACTAACTTTACAACGTACAGACGTCAGTTACTTTCACAATCCGTTTCGCTCTCGCTGTAGCTTATTTGTTAAAGAAAGTAAGGACATTGCTGACGATTTCTCGACACTGAGATGTCAAACGGCGACCTTGTCTCGGCTGTTCGGACATGTTGACAATCAACTGACAAAGGTGCACCCATTCACAATAATGGACCCAACCAGTTGTGACACGGTCACGCAATTCATTAGTATTCACTTGATCAGGTCAAGCTGAACAAGCTGTAGAGGTGTCTTCAGATCTTGACGAAGAATGGTATCGTAACGCTCTACAAATATTATAATGAGACCATACACAGAATATGATAATATTTTAAAGATTATTTCTACCTTATTCCGTCTGCACAGGACAAAACTACACACTGCTTGCAGAAAGTGTGTGTGTGTTGTTTTACGCCGCGTGTAGTAACATTCTAGCAAGACCATAGCGGGGGACGCTAGGAATTGACCTCATTGTACATCATAGGAAAACTGAACCCGGAACCTTCCTCGCGACGAGCGAACACACTTCTTGGAGTGCGAGTGTATGAACAGCATTCATCGTGGCTGCTTGAGCCTGTGTCAGTCAAGGAAGCAGCTTGTGACCTTGTGTGAGTGATTGAGATGGGTTTTACGCCGCTTGTAGCAATATTCGAGCAATATTACGGCGGAAGACACCAGAAATGAGCTTCACACATTGTATCTATGTGGAGAACAGAACCCGAACCTTCCTCGTGACGAGCGAACACACTTCTTGGAGTGCGAGTGTATGAACAGCATTCATCGTAGCTGCTTGAGCCTGTGTCAGTCAAGGAAGCAGCTTGTGACCTTGTGTGAGTGATTGAGATGGGTTTACACCGCTTGTAGCAATATTCGATTACGCAATATTACGAACAGAACCCGGACCTTCCTCGCGACGAGACACCAGAAATGAGCTTCACACATTGTATCTATATGGAGAACAGAACCCGGAACCTTCCTCGCGACGAGCGAACACACTTCTTGGAGTGCGAGTGTATGAACAGCATTCATCGTAGCTGCTTGAGCCTGTGTCAGTCAAGGAAGCAGCTTGTGACCTTGTGTGAGTGATTGAGATGGGTTTTACGCCGCTTGTAGCAATATTCGAACAATATTACGGCGGAAGACACCAGAAATGAGCTTCACACATTGTATCTATGTGGAGAACAGAACCCGGACCTTCCTCGTGACGAGCGAACACACTTCTTGGAGTGCGAGTGTATGAACAGCATTCATCGTAGCTGCTTGAGCCTGTGTCAGTCAAGGAAGCAGCTTGTGACCTTGTGTGAGTGATTGAGATGGGTTTTACACCGCTTGTAGCAATATTCGAACAATATTACGACGGGAGATACCAGAAATGAGCTTCACACATTGTATCCATGTGGAGAAGAGAACCCAAGTCTTTGGCGTGACGAGCGAACCATAAGGCTACCCCACCGCCCCTAGTCTGAAGAAAAAGATTAGAGATGAATGGGTGAACTGTACCCACGTGGAGAATAATACCCGGGTCTTCATGGTGACGAGCGTGAACGCTTTAAACCACTAGGCTACCCCACCGCTCCGGATTATAAATCATCTAACAATATAATAAGAAAATCTTCCCAGGTTTCTGATTTAAACATCATAGTAAAACGCATGACAGTTATTCGCGTAAGTATTATAAAACTGTATTACACCCAGCCCAGTAACTCATTTACACTGTAAAGGTAACGTGAAGAATCAGTCGATAATACCGTGAAAATCACCGTTAGAATTGGTCTTTAGCAAGCCGTGCTGATTGGATTGGCACACGTCATCGTGTCCAAATTGCGTAGGTCGGTGTTCATGATGTTGATCACTGGATTGTCTGGTCCAGACTCGATTATTTACATACCGCCGCCATATAGCTGGAATATTGCTGAGTGTGGCGTTAATCAGCAAACAAACAAACAAATCAGTCAATAAAAAAATACACACGTTGTGTCATATAGTTCATATTTTTTTCTGACATCACAACATCGTCACCAACGTATGTCCAGTGTGCTGACTTGTGCTATCATGTAACCTCGTTCGTAGTGTCACGTGACTTAGAGATATGCTCACTTCGAACAAGAAAGGCGAGTGACGACGTACAGAGAAATCCATTCACAAGAACCTGTTCAAGATGGCCGACGCCAAGCGAGTTGTAGCCATAGCGATGGACGGGAGCGAGAACTCGGACTATGCCTTTCAATGTAAGTGTGAGTTGAATCCTAAACAGGAAGTATTGTTTGTACGGAGGGTGGGATTACGTTCTACTCCTCGAGTATCACACGTGTCACGAGCATGTGTGATATGTGTAGACTAATGTGAACACTAGTGGGGCAGATAGCGTCTCTTTTTCTTCTTCTCTTATCAGCCCTCCTCATACAGAATGCAGATGTTTTTTTATTACGCTATTCTATTAAATGTTTGTGAACATAATATAGTGAGATATTTGTGTATGCTATTCGACATCATTCTTTTAATGTGCCATATCAGAAATCCATCATTTAACTTTCTGAATATTCATTATATGAATTCTGCAGTGTGATAGTAGTCCATTCAAGCAGACTTTGCATTCTGTGGATGAGCTACCTGTCCATTTTCTGTTTACAATGAAATAATTAATATATTTACAGTAATATTTCCGCATACATTTATACATAGGTAATATATTCATTGCTTCTCCACAGGGTATATGGACAATATTCACAAAGCAAAAGACCACGTCATCTTTGTCCACTGTCCAGAATATCAGGCTGTTGTCCACTCAAGTAAGATATATGAACGCCATAAACATTAAACTACGTTTATAACGAACACGCTTATAACGAACTGGCGGGTATAACGAACTGACGGATATAACGAACTGACGGATATAACGTACTGACGGATATAACGTACTGACGGATATAACGTACTGACGGATATAACGAACTGGCGGATATAACGAACTGACGGATATAACGAACTGCTTTTTGTTCCGGCCACATTATATTTTAGATTGGGGCGATAGGGTAGCCTAGTGGTTAAAGCATTTGCTTATCACACCGAAGACCCGGGTTCGATTTCCCACATTGGTACAATGTGTGAAGTTCATTTCTGGTGTCCCTCGACTTGATTTTGCTGGAATATCGCTAAAAGCGGCGTAAAACCATACCCACTCACTTATATTTTAGTGGAAATGCGTATAATGAACGACAACGAATGTTTCCAGTCGAGTTCGTTATATCAGAAGGCTACTGTACAAGTACTTATGATGTTAATCTATTCTGTTGTGTCGGGCTGCCTGGGCCAAAGTAGGGAACACGTTGTGTTTGGTAATTTGACTGTACGTGCACATAAAGTCAGTAAGAGAGTGAGTCTTTAGAATCGATTAAACATTAAAGGTGAAAATGAATGGATATCAACTTTATTATAGGGAACGCGACGTTTCGGAGTATATTCTTACTTCTTCATCTGTTTGAGCATGAGATTGTTTTTAGTCAACTGTCAACTGCGTTCGAGTTATATGTTTGTTTCAGTTGAATAAAGTTCTGTATTGACATTCGGTCAATCTAATTTAATATGTTTTTTTTATGATACCTCTCTGCATGTATATTCGAGGTCACCTCGATAGGTCAATAGGTCAGCAGTGAGGAGTTTACATTATTCGATAAGACTGCGCGAAGCGTTCGTAGCAATATATGTGATTTCTGAATCTAGAAAACGAGCTTAAACGACTTTTCCCAAATGCACCTAATTGAGGCCGAGGGATTATATTGTTTTGGAAATTATATACAACCTGTCCGATCTACATCCAACAGGGGATACAGTCGAATACATATTCTTGTATATCCGTAGATTTGTTTTAATTAAGATTAAAATTCATGATAATTCTACGCTATTTCGGCCTACAAATAAAGGGAGGATGGGAAAGAATACATAGAAGTACAGTGATGTTGTTGATGTTCAGAGCTTTCGAACGATACCCGACATCAAACGATTCGCCTCCCATGTTATTCATACGACGCTTCGAAAACGGAGGTATTTTCCGTTGTTATGTCATGTTACCGAGCGGAAAGCCACTGATATCGGGAAATAGGCAACCATACATATTATTTAAGAAATCTTTTTTATAATAATTTTCTGATGACGTAAAAATGAAAATATAAAAGAAAAAGGCACTGGCATGTTATGACATGTCACAAATGGAAAAAAATCGCCATACTTTTTGAATAACATTATAAAAATAAACTTCATATTTATCAACAGTAGGATTATAATTTCCTTCATAAACATAGGCTTCATCTATGACCTCAGAGTCTCGATAGTAAGGAAAGATATCAAGGGGAAGTAACTCGGTGCATATACTGTGGTTTCAGCAGTACGAACGTTTCACTATCCGAACGGTTTTTTTTATAAAAACCAAAGTGTTCGTATTAACGAGGTCTGACTGTATATATATCATCGTTGTCATGTCGGAATGAAATATGGAACAGGAAGTAGTAGAGTCTTATGTCGCTTTGTAGGCAGTGCTCGCCCACTGAAATAACACACCGTTGTTGAATATGGATACTCCACTCAGACACATTATGTGGACTCACTCCCAGCCAACCAGGTTTTGTTTTGTACCAATAATGCCGACGAAAGGTTGAGGTAACAACAAACAGCATATCTTAACATCTATTGGTATGGACTGGTATTGGTATCGAACACAGACCTTCCGCTCTCCAATCAGACGTTCCATCCACTCGACCACGGAGACTGTGTCAAAATGTTTTCAACTCGTCATATTCAACATTAAATATTTAAGATACATCTTCAAGTTTCCTAAAATGCAAATGGCGACATGTTGCAATACAATTACAGGCAACACAGAGCTCTACTTATTTCGAGGGACAAATCAACAGGTTGATGACAGGAGACATTTCTTGATTGTTACCGATGTTATCAGTTCTCGACAAGCTCAGTGAGAACAGCCGACCTCACATGCACATATCAGCGTGTTTGTGTCCGGACTCTCATGTATTTTTATACCGTCATCGTTACATCCGAGGTCAAGGTCAGCGTAATATCACAATATATTTATACACCGTCATCGTTACATCAGAGGTCAAGACAACCTTACATCACAATATTTTATACACCGCCATCGTTACATCAGAGGTCAAGGTCAGCGTAATATCACAATGTATTTATACACCGTCATCGTTACATCCGAGGTAAAGGACAACGTAATACCATAATGTATTTATACACCAACTTTACATCAGAGGACAAGGACAACGTTATTAATATCACACACTATGCCCATTGAGACGCTTTGTAGATATCACACATTAGCTATACCTAGTATTAGCTATCATCCTCGTATATCCAGGGTATTACATCTCCATACAATAATTTAAGAAGTACCCGCATGCGATTAGTAAATGATAAAGTCTGGACCAGACAAGCTTGTGGTTGATAACATGAGCATTATGTGTACGCTGACACGCAATCGACCAAGTCACCCAATCCATTCCTATAGACCTTGTGGGCCTTAACAAAGCAATTGATTCTACTGGAAGAAATAAACTTATGTTACCACATGTTCTCCTAAAATATGGTCTTCATATTATTTTTTTTGATTTTTTAGTATTAGTCTGTTACAACATACGTATGGTGTAACGCTGGTTTTATTGAGTATTTTGTATGTCATATTGGACTGAAACAGGGCTGTGTATTAAACCCCATTTTATTTACATTTTTGAACAATGAGTTGACTGCCGATGATCTTGACACATGTCGAAGAGAAGAACAATTATTCCCTGACTGACATACATTCTTTTCTACTAATGTTTGCTGATTACGTTATTTTTATTTCTGATCGAGTATGTCCTACAATCGTGGCAGTTAAATGTCAACCTTTCGAAAATAAAAATAATTGTTCTTCGTAAAGGTAGAAAATGGTTTTATCGATATCGTAATGAAATTGATTCAGAATATAATGACCTTGGACTATTGATGAGCAGAATCACATTTGGCGATAAATGGGAAAAGGCCATCATTGAATGTTTTCATATTAGTTTGGGCAATGGAAAAGTCCCACTTGGAATATTTTTGACAATATATAATAAAAATGAAACCCATCCTTCTTTGTGGATGGGAAATATGGGGACATCGAAAACGAGAGGTGGTAGAGAGGGTCCAATTTCTCTAATGTAAACATTATCTGGGTACATGCATTAACAGTCCTAATGTAATGGCCTCAGTAGAATGCGAACCATACCCATTGTTGTAGATAGTTGGGTTAACTTATTAACTCCTGGCTAAAACTACTTCACATCCTATCCGATAAACTTCCGAGTAAGGTGAAATGTTAGTTAATCCTGATTCAAAAGGTAGACAGAACTGGCCAATGCTCTGCTTGCTTGCTTGGGTCTACCAAGACGTTGGATGTATAGCTAAATTAGTTTTCGTGACATTCAAACCAAATTAAAAGATATGTACCGCCAAGAATTCACAAATATATTAGCATCTAGCACCAGATATGAATCCTGTGCAAGTTTTAAAATTAGCCTTGAAGCAGATAACTAATTAATGGATTCGACCTTGTGCATATTTGCAATTATAACCGACTTAGCTCCTGGTCGAGTTGGATGTATAAGGCTGATAACGGGAGACATAATAAAATTGCAAAATCTGAAAGAGAAGGTTTATATTGTAACTTAATACCATTTCCTAACTATATGTACAGCCTTAAAGAACATTAGAAAGCAATACATACCAAATAAATACTTGGTACATAAAATAAAACAGTTCGCCTTAAAGCAACCACAACTTATCAAGATATGTTATGCTATGCTTCGAATATGCCGTGAAGAGTAGAATCGGATTGAAATGAAATGTGACTCTACTGTTCAAATGATCCTATACTGTGTGCACTTCATACATACGGGCCTATCTAATTTCAGTGGGCTAGCATTACAAAGCGGAATAAGTCAATAAGTTCAAGTGTCTGGTATATGGGAAATGCAGTTATGTCTATACATTTATTCTGTCTAAATTTTACTTGCCACAAAGGGGTATACTAAATGGCCTGTGTAAGCCCACCCTTTCCTGAACACCTCGTATCATACCTATTTCATGGTGATGGCATACCTTTAGTACCATGGAATCCGAGAAGGGACATTGTCGCATTGTCGCTCTCTCAAAAACAAGCAAAATGAGGCGAAATTAACGAACGCGCGACAATGCGACAACACATCCCTTCCAGGATTCCATACTTTAGTCTGTCATACAGACCCTAAAACAAATATTCCCAAATGCAGCCTGTGCAAGTCTAGAATGTGTGGCAAGCCTAGATTATCTACTCTTTTCTGTAAAATATGTTCATTTAGGAGACTAGATGTTAGTATATGTTTCACATGGAGTACTCGTTGCATATAGTCAACACTGGATATACTAAAATAATGGTCAATTATATATCTATTGGTATTTATATCTGTATTTTATCTATGTATTTGTGTGAGTACGTGAGTATGTGATATTGTTTTCTTAACTCCTGTGATACTTCTGTTTGTGACCCGTGAAGGTCGGGGTTAGAATGAACCTTCAGTAACCCTTGTTTGTCGACCCTTTTAGAGACGACTAACGGGATCGGGTGGTCAGGCTCGCTGGCTTGGTTGACACATCGGTTCCCAATTGCGCAGATGGATGCTCATGCTGTTGATCACTGGATTGTCTGGTCCAGACTCGATTATTTACAGACCGCCGCCATATAGCTGGAATATTGCTGAGTGCGGTGTAAAACTTACTCACTCACTCACTCACTTCTGTTTGTGTTGTATATTGCCGTTTAACTGAAATTGCATACGCGTAATATATTTTCTTACTTAGTAATAAAGCATTATGTTGATATCTCATATGTTATCATAATATCTACAATATGTGTACATACTGCATCATTCAAATGTCCTATGTTGTGTGCTCCAGGTATGGTGATGACTGACATAGCTATAGTAGCAGACCAACTGGAGGTGGAACAACATAGGATCAAAGAATTCATAGAGCAGCTGGGGGAGAGGCTGAAGAAAGTGGGGGTACGTGCTTACAACAAGAGAGTACGAGAACCTAAATGAACACAGATGCTATCTAAGTTAACTGAGAAAAACTAATGTGAAGTCCTGGCATCCACATGTGCCCCTGTCATTGCTGATCTGTTTCTTGATGCATGTGAAGTGGACAAGACAAGTGAAACAAATGTCATTTGTCTAAGACGTTAAACCTAAACGCTTCAGGTAAATATTCAGAATGAACACTGGGCACTAGACTGTATGGCAAGAGGATGATTTCAGTTTTTGAATCGTCAGCTTTCCCTTAGTGCCTAACAATATTCCATCTTTTTGTGTCTACAACATTTTGAGGCGCAAGTGAGCATGCTTTTTCTACGAAGGTTTCACTCAGCGTCCTAGACTCTTGTTAAGTTCTCTCATAAGTTGCTTCATCAAGGTTACAATATTTAAGGTCAGACTACAAGTTTTCTGAATCATTAATAATAAACATGTGGAAGACATGTCTACGAACCAGTGGCCAAGCGATGTCCGGAGCAAAGTGAGTGAGTGAGTGAGTTTACTTTTATGCCGCACTCAGCAATATTCCAGCTATATGGCGGCGGTCTGTAAATAATCGAGTCTGGACCAGACAATCCAGTGATCATCAGCATGAGCATCGATCTGCGCAATTGGGAAACGATGACATGTGTCAACCAAGTCAGCGAAACTGACCACCCGATCCCGTTAGTCGCCTCTTACGACAAGCATAGTCGCCTTTTGTGGCAAGCACATGGGTTGCTGAAGACCTATTCTACCCCGGATCTTCACGGGTCTCCGGAGCAAAGACCTATTTGGCTGACCATATGCTACCGTGATATTTCTCAGGTGGACAATTGACCTGACTTTGCATGTGTTTGTGACATGTGCCACGATGAAATCATTGTTGTTTAATTGTGTTTCTTAAAACATTCTCATGATATTATCAGAATCGTGCAGTCACCTTTGTTTTTGGTGGAAGAGATTACTTGTGTCTTTGAAATGGTTTTGTCGCTTTTATTTATGCTTTTCTTGAAACAGATTGGCGGTAAGGTTCGGAGTATGGGTGGAACGCCAGGGGAGGTAATCGTGAAGATTGCCGAGGAGGAGAAAGCCAAAATGATTGTGACGGGTACACGTGGATTGGGGAAAATCCGGAGGACGTTTTTAGGCAGCGTCAGTGACTACGTCCTTCACCATTCCAACGTCCCCGTCATCATCATCAAACAGGGACAGTAAACACACAACCACGAATGACGATGTGTCGGTGCATGGTTTCTATAGCGACTTTTAGTTGAACTCTGATGTTACACTAGCAATGGGATGAGATAATGGATGACGTACTCCCGCGTCGTAGCGTGACAATGGATGAGCCATGTCTCGTGGTAAGGCGCACGTCCTTATACCATTCGTAGTGAGCTGACGCACATATGTTGTGATCAAAGACTAAAATACATATCAATATATTCTTCGGCATAGTGAAGCTATGAAACAATATGCCTTTGAACAAAGTAATTGATAAATACTTTATGTATGTATATTGTGGATGTTGATATATTCAACTGTCGAGTGTGGCGGGACAATTTTCTGAAAATTTCTCAAATTGTGATGAAAGTATTTTATTTTAAGGATTCACAATGTTTCATTACATTTTATGTCTGTGCTAATATACCAGAACTTATTTCTATGTAAGATAATTCCATGGACTTAAGTGATTACTGATAAATTGTAAATGATATGAAATATGTTGGGTTGTCTGCTTGTACATGTCAGAATGTTATATATTGTATTATTCTAAATGTGTATAGTGTCATCATTCATAATGATGTTATGAAGTTCTCACACAAAATAATTTTGTTGAAATACGAATATCTATATAAATGTGATGAAATATATGTTTGTGTTACTTCGTGATTATTGACAAAGCAGAAGGGGAGAAAGAATAAAAAAATATGTAAATGACGTCGATATTATATCACTAATGTGTTGACATGCTAACGCCAGACCCATTGCCGACATGTTACGTCAATGACCTTGACACGAAAGCGTGAACGATTCCATGGAGTTGGTATGAAGTTGTAAAGTTATTAAGTCGAACTTAAGTGTTGCATTTAGGTTTCTTATGAATACGGAAAGGATTTTGTCACTTTCGTATATTTTGACACAAGGACATGCGATCAGCCAAATCACCAGATCAAGTTAATCGCCATTAAGGGTGTAAACATGTATGTATTAGGTTTGTACAAAATATAGCATTTGCTAAAAATATACCCAGGTATCACAACAGGTGAACTCGTGTAAACGTTTGATTTTCTCATTCCCCTCCTTCGTGGAACCGGGCGAACTCATGCAAACGTTTGATTTCTTAAAGTCCTCACCTTGGTGGACCGGGCGAACTCAGGTAAACGTTAGATTTCTTAATTCCCCTCCTTCGTGGAACCGGGCGAACTCATGCAAACGTTTGATTTCTTAATTCCTCTCTTAGGTGGACCGTGCGAACTCATGCATGACAATGGTAATGAATTATCGATTTGGGTTTATAATGAAAAGATTAATAATGTTACGAATATTATGACATTCATGAAACAGAAAGCAACGATATACTTGGTACAATCGCAGGAGATTTATGCTAAAATCAGTCCATTTATAATGAGACATAATTTATTCGTCAAGGTAATTTATTAATACAATTCGGATATTTATATAGCGCACATATCCAAGGCGCTGTTTCTACCAACGGTCACTGGATGTCAATCTCAGCGGCACATCTTATCAATCTCAACTCCCACTGGATCATACAACTCTTGCAGCCATTATACGCACCAAGTTATTGCGACTTTCCCATCCTTACGAGGTACCCATTTACAGCTGGATGGACTGGATGGACACATAGTCACAGTACTGCACGTTTACTGCACGTTGCTGTGCCCGCAACTAGATGTTTGCAAATGTATCCAACATCTGGTCATGTACCAATGGATTCGTGGCTTCCTTTAAGTGCACAGGTTTGTGTAATGTACCTCTAGGGGTTGTGACAACACTTAAAGAGTCTGCACACAAAGTTGACTCCAAGGTTTTTACACCCGGTCACATGTGAGCTCGATCCCGGCACCACAAAGTCGCTGGATCATTAGCCTGGCGCCTTAGACAGCCCACCATGTCCGATAATGCTTATGGGTAATACAGTCAAATATCTTCGTGTCGAACTTTCATGTCTGAACATACGGTTGTGTCGAAGTAAAAGTCAACTCCTTCTATTCCTTCTCTAGTAGTCTCTTTTCGGTTGTGTAGAACCTCGGATAACTCGAAGTTTTTACGTGGGCCCTTTTAGTTCGACACAGCGGTGTTTTTACTGACCAACATTGTTATATATTTCGACAGGTCAAATAGACACATCAATACACGTACAATAAAAGCATAAGTGCTGCATGATATCGACATAAGGTAACGTCGTGTATAGGTCATGTACTTGGGCTGACATTTGAATCACTGGATTTTACAAGTGGTCTGTGAATGAGCCACTCTGTCAATTACATATCCATATCTGATGATTGGAGTGAGTGGAAACTTGTGGGCATATCTGATACACGGTAGCGATAGACGATGTCGATCCAGTAGGCCATGCTGTGGACCCACGCAACATTTCCATCAGTTACAGACACTGGGTGTTATGATACACACGGTGATTTAAATCGGAGGACGGTTTACGTGCAGAAAGTACCGCGAAAGTATGGCGAACATGCAGGCTAAGATTTCAAATGTTTTCGTAGAGTTAAATCTTCAGGTAACATTGAGTTTCAATGGAAATGTGGTATTTTTGTCTAAAATCCACGATTAACCGAAAACCAGAGTGAGTGACACACACACACGCATGCATGCACGTGTGCGCGCACGCACGCACGCACACATCAGTGTAATGTGTCTGCCTGGTCTGCGAATCACACAATGTAATGTGTCTGGTCTGTGGGCTAGACAGTGCAACGTATCTGGTCACACAGTTTAATGAGACTCTGAACACAGGACAATTGCCTTGTATTACAAAGCATTTTTGCAGAACGACAGAGGCCAATATCAAACATTGATACAGTGCATCAAATGTTCCCACCAGCTTATGTCATATACGGGTACAGGAAGTGTAAGTTTAGGAGGAGAGGAATTGTTTACATTTAAAGTCGGTTACCAATACAGCTCCTTCTTAGTTCCATGACAGTTCCAGGCGGCTGCGTTGTGTTTGCTAGGTTTCTGATTTGATTACTTCCGGTTGAGATTTGAAGTGTGATTAGCAGAATGTTAAACATCGAGAATACATCATTTCCAGGAAAAGTCTACAATTGTACATGAACGCAAAATAAAGATCAACCTGTTTATTCTCTATGTGTCAAGAAGCAGTACTCATATATCGGTATCAAGTCTCTGGTGGACATTACAAAAATACAAAAGAAATAATGTCAAAGCAATAAACCATTTAGGGAGTGAGATATGTTGATTTTTATGGAGAAGCATAATATCATGCAATGTGAATGACACCATCCTCCCTAAAATTTAAAAATTTAGGTACAAAGCAACTGACCCACAGCACCCCCACCCCAACCCCCCGTTGCGTGTCATGTACAAAATCAATGACACACCTCCACAGAACAAAATGGATGATCCCCTTCAAATCATCATCACCCCCACTAGCCATTAATTAGGACTGGTCCCTAAGAGAGGGTGAGTGACTTGGCAATATTCCAGCAATATAACGCCAAGGGACACCAAACATAGGCTTCTCACGTTGTACATATGCGATTAAACCACCTTCAGTACATTTTAGAATTTTGGAGACTCCAAGTTTCCGAGACCTCTTCTTGTCAACAAGGAGTGAGTGAGTCTGGTTTTACTCATCCTCAATAATTTCCAGGGTATACCTTACGATCACTCTCTACTATACCCTGGACGCATCCACGGCTTGGACCCATAATTATATTACCTCCCTTGGCCGGCTTTTATCCAATCAGGTGTCTACGCTGGGAAGTTGAGCGAACCAATCACAACTCACTTTCGCTTCTTAAATTATCTAACCGTTTAAACTTGGCAACACAATTGATGCCGAGGTACTCTGAAAGAGGTAGAAGGAGTTATTTTATATATTTTTTGAAAGTTTCAGATCTGTCAATTTGGCTGTATTATTTCCTCACAAATCTGAGTGGCACTGCGAACTAACCTTCGCGACTGCGACGGCTATCTTTGTTGACACTGGCAAGCTCGGATGTAATGGCGGCTTAGCTGATTGGCTACTGTGAGAATGCGGAGCCGGCCCTTGGGAGGTAATATAATTATGGGGCCAAGCCATGGATGCATCCAGGGTATAGTGGAGAGTGATCGTAACGTATACCCTGGAGATTATCGAGGATGGGTTTTACTTCGCTTTTAGCAATATTCCAGCCATATCGCTGCGGGCAACATCAGGAATGGGCTTAACATTTTCCACCCAAGTGGGGGAATCGAACCCGGGTCTTCGGCCTGACGAGCGAAAGCTTTAAGCATTAGGCTACCCCAACCCCCCATCTCAAACAAAGGAAACAAACCGTAGGGATGACAGTGACAGAACCAGTCTCCGGTGACTCGGTGATCCATTGTAGTGTAACCTTACTACACGGAACAACTGAAGTGCTGGTGCTTGTGAACGCTACACCAGTATTTGATCTTTGTGTTCCTGTCGACACTTTTACATTCACCGCATTTGTCTGCACTCTGATGTGTTCCACCCATCTCTGTCAAAAAGCGACTATTGCCTTCCTATATTTAACCAACCAACCAATAAATTTTGGTGTCGTATTTTAGTCATATCCACCACGAGAGCAAAACTAATATCGGTTAATCGTGATGTTGTTGGAATATTGCTGAATGCGGATTAACGCTTTGTCTAACTATCCAGGGTACACGGACCGAGCACCACCTCTCATTACAAATACAGTAGTGTGTAGTGTAGTGAATAAATAGTTGACAAAATAGTTGAGGCATAGGTGACTTAACTGTACACTCGGTGCTTTTTCCAAAGATGTTTCTTATTCCGAACTGCAGCAGCTGATATGAGAAGTGGCACTTCAACTTTGTAATGACGGAGTCTGTGTTATTTTATGTATGCTTCAAAGCATTGTTACACCACGATGAGATTTTGCTGTGAAACGCTGTCTCACGTGCGTGCGTACGTGCGTGCGTGTTCGTGTTTGTGAACGTGTGTGTGTGCGTGTGCGTGTGCGTGTGCGTGGACTCCGGACAAGGAACCAGTTAGTTCATTTCTAAACAGAGTTCTGTTCAATTCTTCGAGGGACTGTTACACCGAGGGCTTTTGGCGATCCGTCTACCAGAGTGAGAGAGAGCGAGTATGGTTTTACGCCGCTTTTAATATTGTTCGGCAACATCACGGCAGGCGATACCAGAAACGGGTTTCACACATTGTACCCATGTGGGGAATCGAACCCGGGTCTTCGGCGTGACGAGCTGTCCCTCCTCCCCAAGCAAAGCGTTGAGTTACAGCTCACTCTCAAGCATGGAAATGACAGTTTTATGAATGCAAATTATTCAGAAGTATATCCAGGTTTGTTGCTAGAGGTTTTCGGTGATCCATTCATCTATTCATATTCGTCCCACTGCTGTTTTCAGAGGCAGTGATAGCCAAGTGGTAAAAGCCTTACCCCTTCACGCCAAAAACCCGTTTTTTCGTCATTTGCATAATGCGTGAAGCTCATTTCTTGTGTCCTCCGCCGGGATATTGTTAAAAAGGGGGCGTACTCACTCACAGCTGTTTTTGCTCCTAATCATAATAGTACAATCAACTCTCAATTAACGTTTTTTTAAATTTCTTCCACCAAAAGTAAATGATGGCAAATGGTCTGAATTTACAGACATAAATAGTTAAGATTATATCACCAATGTCAATGAATAGCGTTCAGATTTCTTATTGTTAATTTGTCAAGCAGATTTTTTGTTCTGGGCAGTTGGATGATTAGCCAATTCGGGAGGACAACTTGTTGAAGAAGTAGCAAGAAACATCTGCTTCAGGATGTATAGTTTGGCATGAAATGCATGTGGACAGGTAACTATCATGAACTGCACGTGCATTTACCTTTATGACCCAACACTGCCGCTGTTACAGGTCATTGGCTCCCTCCCTCTGCAAGCAGTTTGCGTTCTGCTGTTTATTTTGCTGACAGTTACATAGACAGATTCTTTAATACAAATGCATAAAATCGGTGATTTACAATGTGATTAGGTTGTCTGACAAAACATCCACTTGCACAGTTTGAGATCGATTGGGTCATTGGATGAAGAGATATTTACAAAAAAAACGGGTCCACATGCATTTCATGCCAAACTATAGAAGAGATGAGAATCTTCATCCGTCAAGAAGGAAACTGTAACACTGTTTTTACCCTAAAACCTGCCTGAGCAAAAGTATCTACTACCCATCAAAGGTTTAGACACACTTAACGCACTCACTACATATATATATATATATATATATATATATATATAAGTGTGTGTGTGTGTGTGTGTTACTTCGAAGCTGAAGTTCTCCACTAACTTGGGAGAACCAACTGCACATCATATGCAGATGCTCAAGGATCATGCATCAAAATGCTGTAGAGCATGTGCAAATATTGGGCATGTGAACAGAGTTTTGATGTAAAGCTTTGTTAAGAATTCGCCAATTGTCACTGAGTTTCATCATTTATTGAACTCATGACAATATTCATTTCAACGTTACGAATTTATTTTACAATACATCAGTTCATGTGTAAACAATACCTTTAAACAGTATGGAATATTTTGCCAAATTTAGTTTAGAACAGTTGGCTAAAGTACGTGGCTACATTTACACCAGTGAGTCTAAACTTTTGATGGGTAGTTGACAAAATAGGCATAGGTGACTTAACTGTACACTCAGTGCTTTTTCCAAAGATGTTTCTTATTCCGAACTGCAGCAGCTGTTATGAGAAGTGGCACTTCTACTTTGTAATGACGGAGTCTGTGTTATTTTCAGTTTTCTCCAAAAGAGCTTGCCGTGGTATATATAGTTCATAATTGTTGACACGTTAGATAATATTATGTTGATATCTTCACCAGAAATATGTGTACATGGTCAATATGGATCCTTCCTTCAAAGCTGTCACACCGGCCTCTCCCAGCATCATGCACTTTCCTCCGTGAAGCACAGCAGCAGTGAAGTCCATTCTATTGAGATAGCTGGTCACTTCCTCCGCTCCTCCCTTCCTACCGACAGAAAATGGTAACAGGTGTTTCCAATCTGTCCTGAAGGATCTCAAGCAGCTTCTCATTCTTCTGTCGCCATGTAGATACAATGATGGCTGTGATCATCTTGGATGTGAATTGAATCTAACCTGTACCACACAGGGATCATACAGAAAGGTACACGCGAGACGCTCCACCGTGGGAGGCATGGTAGACGTGAACATGACTGTCTGGTGGCATTTCTTCGCATTCTCTTCTCTACCTTCTGTTTCTGGCATTCCTTGTAATATATCAAGGATTTTACGTAAATCGGACTCAAAGCCAAATTCTACCATAACATCCACTTCATCCATCACAACACACGTCCGCTGGTTGAGAACAAGACTACCTTTCTCCAGAACATAAAGGAGTCGGCCTGGAGTTGAGACAACAATCTCACAGCCCGAATCAAGCTTGTTGGTTTGCTCCTTATAATTTACACCTCCGATGACTGTGGCGGTTCGGATGCCACTTACTTCGCCAAACTTATCACATTCCTCCTTGACGTGTTGAGCCACCAGACGTGTTGGTGTAAGAATAATAGCATCGGGAGCTTTGGTCGATTTCCCCATCATCTCGCATTTTGGCAATCCGTGAATCCATGCGAAAAGAGCAACAAGGTATGCAACTGTTTTACCGCTTCCAGCTTCAGCAACACCAAGAACATCCCTGTTTTGTAGAGCAATAGGAATTGTTTGCATCTGAATGGGAGTGGGGATTTTGTATCCACTTTTGTCAATGAGCTCCCTTATAAAACTAGGAACTGTGAGGTCATCCCATGATCGCAAAGGATGAGGAGCACTTTCACCTTTGTTATGATCCGATTTTAAGATAAGCCAATCTCTTTGGGTCATTTCATGCAAAGATTTCTCAGCCCAGTGACGATTACCCCTCTGCATAATTTCAACGTGATCATCAAGTGAAGGTAATTCAAGATTCGAATTTTCCTCCAGTTCGATTGAATGGTCTTCAGCTTTCACATGATTGGTATTTATCATCTCACCTTCGATATCATCAGATGAGGAATGGAATTCCTCCCTGCGATTGTCTCCGCTCCTGCCACTTCTATCTCTGCTCCTGATGCGACTTCTATCTCCGCGTCTACGTCGATGACGACCTTCAGCGTCAGATCCACTTCTCTGATAATCTCTACCTCTCGACGTGCCTTCATGCAGTGTTCGTTTCCGATTCGTTGTTCCCACTTTATAACCGCTGTTTACAATATACTTTTCATCCGGACTGACAGTCTACACACTTACGTCCATGTCAGGCGTGTGTCGATGATGCTTGCTTGAGGCGTGTGTCGCTGATGGTTTCCAAATGCGACGAAATTGCGTGTACACTAGTGTCTCATCATATATAACCTGATATACACCGAACGCTACACGCTCGTTGACAAACGTTAGCAGTACGGTATCGCAATCGATACTGTAGTCAAGGGTGACTGCACACACACACACACACAGCTATAGGCGACCAAGAGCTAACAATAGTACAGTACGCTATATATATCTTGAAGAGACCGGTACGACCTCAATACGAAACGATGAAAAACTACTTGTGGTCGTAAACGAATTTGGATTCTGTTACGTGTGATCGTTATTTTGCTGAGATATCGTCGTTCCTACGGTGTATGTTACCAGTGGTTTAAACGTTTCACCACTATTTGGCTGAGACATTGGCTGAGACATTGTCGATTTTACAGACCGCTCTGCTTTTATTAGCGATATCTTATGATTAAGTAAAGTGAGTTTCGTTTTATGCCGCCCACAGTAATACTCCAGCTATATGGCGGCGGTCTGTAAATAATCGAATCTGGAACAGACAATTCAGTGATCAACAGCATGAGCATCAATCTACGCAATTTGGAACCGATGACATGTGTCAACCAAGTCAGCCAGCCTGACCATCCGATCCCGCCAGTCGCCTCTTACGACAAGCATGGGTTACTGAAGATCAATTCTTTGATTATGTAAAGGGTTTCGTCGCTTTTCAATGAATATTTCTAAAGCGATAATGTCGTTTTCGTCCATTCTTTCGTGAATCCGGAAACGTCAAGCATGCCCTCATTGTACCCGTGGGAAGTATGAAGGTGTCGACAGACTGTTACAGTTCCAGCACAAATCGTCCGCCACTATCGCAATGTGATTATGGAGACAGGCTAAATTATGTTTAAGAGACATTAACAGTTAATTTTGACAGTTTAGCTCAGTGTCTCAATCTTTTTATTTTGACGACGACAAGTTAAACACTGAACGACATGCAAACTTCAGAAGGAAATAGCAGTGACGCTTCTGCGCAATATTTATGGCTTACTTCCTGGTTATTTGAATTTATATTTTTTATATGAACTGTGAAAAAGGATTGTGATAATTGCACATTACAAAGATATGTCTATAGACAAAGATATGTCTGTGCAGTACATATAATTTGTGTCTACTGTTTCGTTGACTCGAACTCTTTACGACTATAAACACAAAGCTGTCGAGTTATCCGTAGTCATGCATTCGACCAACTTGTCCGTAGGAATTCTCTCACTAACATACAATTACATCGTTTTGACCATACGTCACATCAATGGAAATCGGAATATAAATATTCTTGAAAAGCAAATAAAGTCCCAGTTGCTGGATCACAATGTGTAATCGATGTTGAGTTAGTCGAGTTCGAGTTAAGAAGTTTTTGACTGTGTAATGGATATTAGATACATCTTTTACCTTTTGGGGAAGATTTTGAAAATCTACAGATAATTATATTGCTCTGTGTCGAACAAGCGTTAATGAGGGGCAGTTTGAGTAAGACTTGTGTCAAACATATATTCAGTCAAACATCGTTGTGTCGACGTTTCAGGGGCTTTTTAGATACTTCGACACAGCCGAACAAAAATGAATCAGAAACCATACGAAGGTACCAAGGTTTTACTTCGAGTCAACTGTAATGACGATATAGCGGAGTTTGACGATACGTATGGGATCGAATTTAAGCTGGGTGATTAGCTACTTCATGTGGTGACCTCGCGCAAGATTATGACGGACTTCTTCAATTACAAGATTGTGATTTATTCAGTCTATTCACATATGAATGTGTCGAAACTTAATGGTTTCGGGAGCTTTAGTAACTGTCCCTTGATTTTATCTTTTTGCGTTATCATTATCGCTGCTTGATAATGAAACGTTTTGTTGATGATCACATTAGATATGAGTAAAAAACCCATTGTATTAGTACGCCATTGCAATCATACGAATCTGAACCCAAAAAATGCATCGCAAAGAGTGACAGTTTTTGGGTGTGTAAGAAACTCATTACAGTGCCCATCATTTATTTACACCCGTGAAGATCAGGATCAGAATTGATCTTCAGTAACCCATGCTTGTTAGAGGCGACTTACGGGATCCGGTGGTCAGACTCGTTGACTTAGTTGACACTTGTCATCTCATCCCATTTGTGTAGATCGATGCTGATGCTGTTGATCACTGGATTGTCCGGCCCAGACTCGATTATTGACGGGCGGCAGGCATATAGCTGGAATATTTCTGAGTGCGGCGTTAAACGACCAACCAACCAATTATTTACCTACTCGTTGAATCTAAATTTCCTTTGCTCATCAGAATATTTTGAAACAACTCGTTCAACATATGGTTACAACAAACATTCGTGTCGTCACCTTTGCATGCCGAAAATGGTCACAAGACCGTTAAGCATAGTCCCTCTTCAAAGAAACTGACCACCTGTCTTAATCACTGACCGACGGTGGGTATGTGGATGACGCATCTGTCGGAATGTTACAACAATTTCACAACAGCGTTGCGTTATCAAAGCTCCTAACCGCGTCAAGCACCGCAAAGTCACGTGACTGATATGTGAACGCTTTGAACGCAGGACAAACGGCAACAGCAAATACATCACCTTTTACATCGCCATCACTTACAACAGCATCAACGATGTCAGAGGAAGATCGAGTCGTCGTTCTGGCCATGGACGGGAGCGAGTACTCCGAATATGCATTTCAATGTAAGTTTCGTTCTGTTACAATGTTACAGTGAAAGGGGCGGGCGTGTAACATGTATAGTTAAGGCAGGTAAGATTATTCGGCTCTCGTCAGCTGTTCTGGTGTGACTTATCAAACCGAGCAGAATGCTGTCCACGTGTCAGTAATCTTGCATGATCGTAGTACTACAGATAATACTTGCTCACGACATCTCTGGATAGAGCGTCTGTCCTCAGAGCGAAAGGTCGTTGGTTCAACCATCTGGCCACGTCACACCAAAAATGTAAGGGGACATTAGTTTTTGAGAACCTGTCGGCATTAAAACTGACCGGCTCTGAGTCAATATACTGTGTCTATGTGGTGTGGGGCATGTCCTGCCCGTGCAAGCCACAACACACACACGCACTTACACATGCACGCACGCATGCACGCACGTAGATGCAATAATGTAGACCGCAACGTTAGGTCCTGTTTCACCTCAGGTTAATTCGACATATCGGTTTATACGAAGTTAGTCTATGAACCTAGTGTATACTTTGTGCTGTCTTCAGTATCCACTTCGCTTGTCTCGAACCTCAGATAACTCGATATATGTAACTGACACTTTGAGTTACCTTGTTGTTTCTGTATATCATCACTGCCTGAGGTATTAGTTGTTCTATTATCTACGTATCTACAGAGTTGTTCTAGAGGTCTTTTCTGTTCTAGTTATTGTGCACACTAGCAATACATAACTCAGCATGTCCGTCTATTGCCCTCAATCTCATGTTTCCAGAGGCACAAACTATCTTTCTGGTTCTGGTTTGAAAGCTCTGGTTCTGGTTTGAAGTTAAAAATAAAATCAATCCATGGATAAATTCTTCAAATCCTCCCGCTCTTAAACACCAAACATTCACCTGTCGGTTATTTGTGCAGGACTTTCGAGCTGAGAGAATGTTTGCAACTTGCTGTCTTCAAACATGCATGCAAACATTTCGAGGTGAACCGTGACCCAGTTGGTTGTTGCGTGACCAGTTAGAGAAATGGCAAACCTTTAAAAATAATAATTTGACGACATTTTGCGTATGTAAAGTTGTTATAATAACTAAAAATATGTTTTTGATATCGCATTCACGCACTGATTCATTCAAACACACACACACACACACACACACACGTCTGGGAAAAGGACATTGTTATTTGTAAAACTGTGTCTAATTTGAATGATAATAATATAATAATGATAATATAACCAGCTTTCAAACTTTTTGCGTTTTTGTCCATAACAGTCACTTGGAATGAATCACGTGAGATCACGCCGACAGCCACGGGCCCAGTAGCCCGTGGCTAGTAAATATCCAGTCGAGCCAGTAAATCGGCACAGTCACTGGCCCGACTGGCTAGTGAATATCCATGGCGTCATTTTGTAAATATACCACTCTCTTGTTAAGTTACCACTTGTTAAGTTATAACACACTTTTAAATCATGCAAGATTGTGGCCTGATAAAAATGTTCATCATATTAGCAGCTTAATGATGAACCCCGTGTCGTGCCGATAATATCTTATTCTAATCTATTTGTGTACTCTTTTGCTTAGTTTCTACATCCAAATTTCGGGCTTATGAAATATTTTGTGAGCTAGTAACTTTCAGGCATAGCCCAACTGGCTAACAAAATTTGGAAACTATTTCGCACACTGCGTTCATGTTTACCAGTTTCCATACAGTGCAGAATCCGCGTTATGAGGTTTCCGTGTCATGTCATTCCCCGACCGATTAACCTTGCAAGCCTCATTGCATTGTTATGTGGACATCACATGATCGTATTACACATCCCCAGGTATGGAAACACTGAATAGAATACGCTTACCTCATTGTCCTTGCTTCGAATGGTTAAGGTTAAGGTTTGTGATAGGTTTGATAAAATAAGAATGTTTGCTAATCCTGCTACATCTCTGGAATCGTATGAAAAATCGTTGTTCGTATCTCCTTTAAGGCAAAGAAATGTGTATACCTTGTATTATCCGAAATAGATATTCTTTCTTTAACAAACACCCTAGGTACCTCATGTATACTCAAACATACTCGAATAAACCTTTATATATTCATATATACTCAGTCTATGCTTCGATCTACTCAATTATGCTCAAATGTTCAAATATACTAACAAACTTGTGAAGATCCTGGTTAGAATTGGTCAGCAACCCATGATTGTCGTCAAAGGCGACTAACAGCATCGGGTGGTCAGGCTCGCTGATTTGGTTGACATCGTATCCCATTTGCATAGATCGATGCTCATGCTGTTGATAACTGGATTGTCTGGTCCAGGCTGGATTATTTACAGACCGTTGCCATATAGCTGGAATATTGCTGAGTGTGGCGTTATACAACAACTAACCAAAGAACATGCTCAGATATAATTTATTTATACTCGCGCACTGAAGCATGCATCCATCATATGGCCCAGATGTATTCAAATATATTCATCTGTTCTCAAATACACTAATATATACATTTAAAAATACTGGGACATATTCAAACACACTGACATGTAATTAAACATTGTTGGATATGCTGAAATATAATCAGACACACTCTAATATGCCCAGGCACATTCAAAGCATATTCAACGATAACATATGTACCCAAACAATTATCGTCAAACATATGAAAATATTAAAAATACTCAAACGTATAACCATAATAATATTTATTAATAATTGAATTTCAAGGATGTTTGAGCCTTATGGTATTTTAAGACTTCAAAGAATGAAGAATATGCTATACATGTACTACTGTTACCCCATCAGAACAGACAACATGATGCAATTGTGCATGTATCGGGGTAAATAAATGTCATATTTTCTTTTATATCCAAACTGCTGTACAGTAATGAAAATATCTTTCACCATACTTACACCAAAATTTAGATAAAATTAAAATTTGAAAGTTTGCGTTAAATTATGATTTATATAACGAAGACAGGCCGGCTCGGAGCCAGTATGCTGTGTCTCATAGGTACAATGCGTGAAGCCCATTTCTGGTGTCCCCCGCCGTAATATTGCTTGAATATTGCTAAAAGCGGCGTAAAACCAAACTCAGTCACTCATTTGGATATATATTTTTGTTTAGTTCAGGTGTTTAAGTTACATACTGTCCAGTCAACATGGAATCACTGGCTCGGATGTTTATATCCGCAACACCCGGTGTTCATTTCCTTATTGTGCTGTCAAACGTAAAAATACATTTACACAGATTTAAGGCACACCCAAGGAACACAACTTAAAGGATCTTACACAACCGAACGAGCCCCTTTAAGACATTGTCGCCTGGAACAGTTGGTCATCCTTGATGTCTGCGTGTGATCATGTTCAAAATATCAGTCCTTGGATTTTCTAGTCCTGGTGGGAGGGGAGGTGGGGTAGCCTAGTGGTTGAAGCGTTGTATCGTCACGCCGAGAGACCCGGGTTCGATTCCCCACATGGGTACAATGTGTGAAGCCCATTTCTGGTGTCCTCCGCCGTGATATGGTTGGAATATTGCTAAAAGCGGCGTAAAATCATCCTCACTAACTCTCCGGTAGGCGGATCACCAACAGCCCTCGACGTACCTGGAGTCACTTAGGCCCCCTTACAGGGCGGCGACCGCTCTGCCTTCTCTCTGCGTTCTAAAAAATTAGCAGGACGCACAACGGTCGCCACACCTATGTTTCAGTGTAACTGCTCCGGCGCCCCTTGTGCCTTACTTGTACAACCTAAACTGGAAATATTTTACATTTCAGGTGCGTTCTTTGAGCGTCCTAGGCGTCCTCTCTGCCTTCCCTCTGCCTTCTCTGTACCATTATATGCAAATAACGGCGTCCGTTCAGCGTTGCTTCTGCCTTCTCGCCGACCGTTGTGCCTTCCTTGTGCATTCATTGGCGTTCGCTCTGCCTTCTCTCTGCGTTCTGTGGCGACTGTTCGGCAACCTGCATGCTCTAGGTATATAAGTACCCGGCTACGACATATTATCATTAGTTTCATACGAGCAGGCTAAGTGATATCATCGTATAACGACTTCAGTAAGCATGAACAATGAACTGCGTTTGCAAATAGCTTTTCGCAAGGTCAACAAGGTTAAATAGAAGGATGAATAGACGTAGAAGAAGACGATGGAAAACCCTGTGGGTCCGCCCATGCATGGTTGATGCAACACAGACGGTTGCAGTTCGGGACTACAACCAACTAATGCAAAAACTGTGTCTAGAAGATAAAGGGTCATTCTACAATTATCTGAGAATGGAGCCAGCCCTTTTTTGACGAACTCCTCCAACGGGTTTGCCTAAGAATCGCCAAACAGAACACGAATTGACGAGCGAGTTTAGAGCCTGGTTTGAAGCTTGCCGTAATCCTCAGGTTCCTTGCAACTGGGGACAAATACCCAAGCCTCCAGTACCAACATCGTGTGTCGCGCAGCACGATCTCCATTTTTGTGGCTGAAGTTTGCAAACCTATCAGAGATGAATATAAGAATGAAGTTGTCAAATGCCCAAGGAGCTCCCAAAAGTGGAAAGCTGTTGCAGATGACTTTCAGAGACGTTGGAACTTACCCCATGCATGTGGAGCCATTGAGCCATATAGCCTTGCGTTATCCACCAAGCACAGACAGTCTCTACCACAACTGTAAGGGATTTTTCTCTCTTGTCCTTCTTGCATTAGTGGATGCAAATTATAATATTTTATGGTGTGATGTTGGTGGTGTTGGAACGATGTCAGACAGCCAGATTTTCAATGAATCTGAACTGAAGACCTGCCTCGAAGATGGCACAATAAACTTTCCAACTCCTGAGCCATGGCCGAATAATGACCGTGACATACCATTCTTCCTACTCGGGCATGATGTATTTCCGCTCAGAACATACATGATGAAGCCATATTCAAACAGGGAACTCAGCAACGGATCTTCAACTATCGTATCTCTCGTGGAAGAAGAGTAGATGAAAATGTATTTGGCATTTTGGCTCAGCGATTTCAAGTTCTACTTTCAACGACGCAGCTGATGCCTAATTCAGTCCAGGATGTGGTTGAAGCATGCATTTGTCTTCACTCAGTCGATCTGCCTTAGCTCTGCCTTCCCTCTGCGTCCTGTGATCAATCCACCATGACGGCGACCGCTCTGCGTTTGTTTTGAGCATGTTCAATACAGTCGCCACTACAGTGGCGTTCTGAGCCGTTCTTGGCGTTGGATCTGCCTTCTTTTTGCCTTCATGGCGATGGCTCTGCCTTCTCTCTGCGTTCGTCGTGCCTCCTTTGAGCGTTCAGTGGCGTTCTGAATTTTTTTAGAATGCAGAGAGAAGGCAGAGCAGTCGCCGTCCTGTGTAAAGGGGGCTTTAATGAACTGAACAGAACAGAAACTCTGTTTAAAACTGAACTAACTGATTCCTAGTCAACTCACTCACTCCTAATGGGATTTTTTACATACCACATTTATAGGGCACCAATATTGGATACACACACACAAACAAAAACAACAACAAACAAACAAACAAAACAAACAACAACACCCCCACCCCCACCCACCCACCACACACACAACACACATATGTACGTGTACTGTTTTAAGCTGCAGTCAGCAATATATGGGTGCATCTAGAATTGAGCATTCTGCCATCTTTGCATTAAGCTTGCACGTGTTCCCTGTATGTTAACCTTTACTGATTAGAAGGAAAGTTACATAATGTAACCTCTTCATAGCCCAGGACGGCTGTTATCTGTCTGTGAACTTGACCTATAGTGTGTATCACCTGACCTTCTCTCACAAGCCTTTACTTGTTGATTAGAGATCCGCCTTTGTCAATGGATTCTAGGACTTCAGTTCACCCGGAGTTCATAGCCCCATTTAGATATATTTATATTTAAATAGCATGTACATTATGTATTCCGAGTTGAAGCTATTGTTACATCTGTATTGAATAATCGGAGTATTTGAGTGAGTTTTAGTGAGTGAATGAGTATTGTTTTACGCCGCTTTTAGCGATGTTCCAGCGTGGGCACCCGAAATGGGCTTCACACATTGCATCCATGTGGGGAATCAAACCGGGTCCTCGGCGTGACGAGCAAACGCTTTCATCAGGAGGCTTTCCCACCGTCCCAGAATGTTTTGTGACGTGAGCTGATGGTGAAAGCGAAATGAAATGGAAACTGAATCTAGAACTTATATGGGCACACTACTGTGTCTGTACTGTGAGGGTTGGTTTGACAGGCCGCCATACTACCCTGGAGAATGTACAGAGAATACCGTTCGTTTGTAATTGTCTGTCGGCTTCTCATGCCATAAATATACATTTAGGATGGAAGGGTGAGATGGCAGTTTGGCTGTTAACCTCTCAGCGCCTCACAGGCAGCTTATGTTGTATGATCCCCAGGGAGCTAAGAATGAAAATCGAGCACACACGTATCCACTGAATGGGGCAATAATGAAGCGCTCTGAGCATTCACATGGTGAATAGGATTTTGTCGCATTATAAATGCACATGTGACAATGATGATGATGATGATGATGATGATGAATGATGATGATGATGATGAAAATTATTCTTTAGCACACCCATATCCAGTTAATGACTGACCTAATGCCGATACTTTTTAAGTAAGTAGTAAGTAAGTAGAATTGATCTTCAGTAACCCATGCTTGTCGTAAGTGGTGACTAAACGGGATCGGGTGGTCAGGCTCGCTGACTTGGTTGACACATGTCATCGTATCCGAACTGCGTAGATCGATGCTCATGCTGTTGATCACTGGATTGTAGTGAGTTTAGCTTTACACCGCACTCAACAATATTGCAGCTTTGTGGCGGCGGTATGTAAATAATCAAGTCTGCACAAGACAATCCAGCGACCCGATCCCGTTAGTTGCCTCTTACGACAAGCATGGGTTACTGAAAATCCATTCTAACCCGGACCTTCACGGGTTTAAAAAGGAAAAAATATAATAATGTCATTTATGTGTGCAGATACATGTATATAACAGTAGCAAATATATTCTTCAGCAATATACGTACATATACTCACACAACATGCCCTCGACGTCCACCTGTCTCCATGTTGCTTCTACTGTGACCTTGACCTCAACATGATGTTAGGAATCTAATCACGCAGATATATATTTTGGTGTGACATAACTGAGGATCGAACCTCCGACTTTCCGGTTCCCGGGCAGGCGCTCTTTCCATTTGACCACAGTTATTGTTTGAAGTACCCGTGACCTTCACTAGAAAATGAAGCGCTAGTAAAACAGCTGTATCGCTGAGTGAGGAGACCAAGTTGAATAAATTACTTCTTTTAGCGAGGGATATCGACCATGAACGATATCAGAGCACAAGGTGTCCAGGATATTTAATTCTTTCAAGCGAAAAGAAAAGAAGTGACCTGACTGAGTGAAGATTCGTGAATGTCTGACTACGGCGTAAAACAATATTCACTCTCATTCATTCAAGCATCGTTCTATGTTGCAGGGTACTTGAAGAATATTCGTCGCCCCGTCGACCACGTCGTGATCGTCCACTGCCCCGAGTATCACAACATCACCTACTCGCGTAAGTATTTTGTTCGACTTGCGATGTATTGAACAATCGTTGCTCATTGGGCCCCTTCCACAAAGCGATTTCGTAGTGCGATTATCGTATGCCTATGACAATGCATGTGAGCTACTTTCATCTCAGTGATTAATTAACACAATGTTAATGTTAAACGCACCGTACGATGACCCGCCATCAACCAAATCACTGACCCTGACCACTCACTCCATTCAGACCTGACTACTCAATCATAACCTGACCCAATATCTCCAGAGGTTCGTGTCGATTATTAATGATCTACATGTTTAGGGGAAAGGAGAGGAACATCACACAATACACTTACTGTTAAAACAAACTTGACAATGACAACGGATGTGGGTGTACATTTAATTATACTATTGACGTTGTGATCCACGCGGGACTTCGCAATGAGAATACGGATTCCCGAAATCCATGTCTGTAAGATTCCACTAAATGGATCGGTTGGTGAGGCTGGATGATTGGTTGCGTGCCATCGTATCAAAATTGCATGTATCGATGCTCATGACATCAATCAGCGGAATATCTCCGTCACATAGATTGAATATTGTAGTGTTCGGCGCGTACAGTGGAAAACAAAACAACAAGAAAAACAACAAGACACCCCACCCGCAAAAAGAAAAAAAGGAACCAAAACCCAACGACCCCCAAAACAAAAACAAACAAACACCCACCAAATAAACAAAACAACAGCAAAAACCCCAACCAACAACAAAATACCCCAAAAAACAACAACAAAAACAAACCCCAAAAACACAAAACAAAACACAAAAAGCAAAACAAAACAAAACCAAACAAAAAAAGCAAAAACGAAACAAACAAAAACAACTCCCCCAAAACAACCCATTAATACAAAAAAAACACCAACACCAAACAAACAAGAGACCATAGAAACAAACAAGCCCATCAACAATACATTTGAAAGAGAAACAACAGCAGCCACACATAGCATATTGTCATATCCTTTGTTTTTTTTGTAGGTATAGCATTGTGTAGCGTGTTGGTTGGAAACGGCCTTAGCATGCGCAGAACGGTTTTTATTCCATTGAACACCCACGAACATCATCCGATACGTGTAGGATAAAGCACGACTCCGAGGTTATGGTTGGGAAAGTAAGACCCGAGACCGGAGGGTGGGGAGAAGTAAGACCCGATGGTCGAGGGCTTACTTTCCCAACCATAACCGAGGAGGGGTGCTTTATTATACATATAAACCGTCAATGATGGATAATTAGATGATGATGTAATGAAGTTACATAATAGTAACTGAAGCGCTAGTAAAATCAATTAAATGACAGTAGGCCTAACTATAAATAGATAATTCAACCATCATTATTTGTCGGCCCGGTGGATGAGAGGTAGAACGTCCGCTTATGAATCTAAAATATACGGTTCTAATCCTGCTAGGGAAAACATTTGCACATTTAAGTTGATCTTTGACGACATTTTTCAATTGATTTCAAACACTAACGTATCATCTGAATTTGAATGTTGAAGTTAATATTGAGTTAGGAAAATGTAAAACCTGGGAAGAGGTCTTACTTACAAAAAGTAAAACTGGGAAAATAGGTCTTACATACGAAAAGCAAAACCTGGGAGCAAACAAAAATCTCAAATGCGGTAATTCTGGGAAAAGAAGCCATGTCTAATATATAGTGAGAAGCAGCCTTCAGGTTTATATTCCTTCATCACTTCCCCAAAATGGCTGCGCAGGATATCTCCTTCAGCGCACATATAGATGTATTCGATGACTAGTAACATCTGAGACCAGGGTTAGCCCAGCGGTTAGAGCGTTCAGTCTTGACGCCAGTGACCTGAGATTGTTTCTCGAGACTGATACCATGTGCAGAACCCATTGCCAGTGACCCTATTCTTCATTATTCACTGTGTCAAATATAGTTGAATTTATAAATGTCATACATATGTATCATATATGAATTGAGATATAGTGCCCAGGCTAATTGAGGATGACGGTAACTGAAGCACTATCATAAAGAGGCTCAAAATTAATAATCAATTATATTCAAATTTTCACACAGTAGTATTGTTAGGCAAAATGGATGGTCAACATTTCATAATTCGCATCGAGAACTGTCACAATATGCTAAGCAAACAGTTCCTCTATGACTCTCTTTGATCGGCCATATTGAGATTCTGGGGCAACGCGGTATGGAAGCTTAGAGTGGACATCGTTTTATGATTTCTCTTAAGTGAGATAACGAGAAACGATGGTACTGGACGAGAAAATATTTTATTCGCGCAACAATATCGCTCTCTCGTCTTGTTTTCTCGTCTCGTATTATCGTTTTATAAGTCTCTCAGCCATTACCGAAGTCAATACAGCGATGTCCCCTTAAGGCCACCATAGTATAGATCCTAGTCCAGCAAGTAAAAACAGTAGATATCAATGTAGATCGGGGATATATATTTTGACCTGGCTGATTTGTTGTTTAAAGCCACACACAGCAAAAGTCCACCTCTATTACGTCATTATTGCTATATAATCGATATAATCCAGTGATTATAATAATGAGACACGATCAACAGAGTTGAATACGAGGACACCTAATTAAATAATGACACTGAGAGATCCTCCAATTTTGTTCCACGCGCCAGTGTATGCAAAGGGCTACAGCGGGCGATTCAGAATCGATATGATTAATTTTGTTATCAATTCAATAACATTAACATTAACATTAATGAAACCTGAATGTTTCCACCAGTCGTATTGTGCCAAAGATGTTCCAGTCGATCGTAGTGTTTAGCAAGATGAGTTAAGTTGTACTGTATTTAACCTGTCACCGTCCATGTTGATAATGGATGATCACGCCTAATGCTCAGATTGGACATGGACCCAGTATCGTTGAGCCTTCTGATGACATTGATTTCGTCACTGTGGAAGTCCCATTGTGGAATAAGCCTCATGTGCTTAGTGGTCGACGTATGTACTGACCACAGTGATTCAAGATAGCGATGTTGTGATGGGTGACTTGCGTAACGATACAAGGGAGTTAAGGGACGCGCACCCGTCGTTTTCATTGTTTAGGCAGCAATGGATCGAAATGCAGCAGAAATGGAATTCCAATACTTTTCCGTTGTGGAAACACGCAGCGATATTTATTTATGTTTTCACCAATAACCTTCATGTCTCCGTTGATCCGACTCCTGAGACTACGGACTGAAGCTATGGCCACCGAGAAGATGGTTATGTGTGCCGAGTCAGCAGTAATGTTCTTGAACTACAAGACAAGACGCTGTTATCTTACTGAATTTACTATTCCCTCAGGAATTAGTCTTTGACCTTGGAGAAATACTTAGAGAACTACTTTTGAACTACAAGACAAGACGCTGTTATCTTACTGAATTTACTATTCCCTCAGGAATTAGTCTTTGACCTTGGAGAAATACTTAGAGAACTACTTTATGGTAGATATAAATACACGGGAGACCGCGGTCAGTCGGTCAGCACAGATGCCATAGGTGACCGCTTTGAACTGAAATGGTAATGGCGTTATAGCTTATTTAGCAGTGTTAAGTGAGACCAACGATATAAAGATGGGGTAATTATACACTGATGATAACCTTAAGGATATGGCCACACATATGAGTTATCGCTGCATACTACGATTTATTCTTAAAGGTGTTTTTATATGCAATCCCTCGGAGAATGCATATGACTTGAGGCTGGGCAGATTTCACATTGGCTAACGTCAAGAACTCGATAAGCCTGTTTCAACTATACCAATTCTCTATCTTCTAAGCAGCAGTGTATAAACGCCTACTGCTGCGACAATTGTTGCATCAATTATGTTTTTAACCGAAATGTCTCATCATTTCAGTTATTATATAACTTGAAATTTTTAATACGTTGCTTCGAATATTTTCCCGTTAATTCTTTTATCGAAATTTCGCTTATTATCTCCTTATTTGGAATATTTTCACATTATATCTTATTCACTTCCTCGAAATTGCTGGATTTTGAAAGAAACTTGAAGCAACGACAAAAAACTGAAGCAACGAGAAAATACTCGAAATTTCGACCCACCCACCTATTCTATGAAATTCTTGAAAAGAAACTTTTATTAACAAAAACAAATGTGAAAATAATTGAAATTTCTTTTTTTGTAGTATTATACAAAAGTGGCATATTAGGCTTTCGTAGTAACTTACGTTGACAACTGGATAGTGTAAACAAAAAGACAATTATTTATTGTATCATTATATATACATAGCATTTACTTTTTGGGAGTGTACATCCTTGACACATGTCATTGGTTCCCAATTGCGCAGGTCGATGCTCATGCTGTTGATCACTGGATTGTCTGGTTCAGACTCGATTATTTACAGACCATCGCCATATAGATGGAATATTGCTGAGTGCGGCGTAAAACTAAACTCACTCACTCACTCAGTGTACATTCACAGTAAGGTAGCCTGTGAGTTATGGAGTTTAATAGATTGATACATACCAGTATGTAAACTATGGAATCCTGGAAGGGACATTGTCGCGTTGTCGCATTGTCGCGTTGTCGCCGTCTCAAATACAAGCAAAATGAGGCAAAATTAACCAAAACGCGACACGCGACATCGCGACAATGTCCCTTCTCGGATTCCATAGTAAACCCACAAATGCTTTAGCAGGCAGAATACAAAAATCGAGGAATAATTGCATAAATATCATATTTTGACATGGTTCCTAATATCGGGACAATAATTTCTATAACCGACACAGAATCCTAAATTCTTTCATCACACCCATCCTCTGACTCACTCTCTATTCCAGAGGCTCCTGTCATGAGTGATGTGACCCTTATCACTCAGATGATCCACGAGGAAGAGAGTCGGGCTCAGAAGATGGTGGACACTTTGAGCCAGAAGCTGAAAGACAATGGAGTAAGTTATAAATCAGTGTGATATGTAGGATATACTTAGACATGGAAAAATGTGTGGGATATCAGAAGGCATAGGTTCGTGTAAGAACTTAGATGTACAACAGATTGTGATATACTTAGATATACACTCACATGTTGGATATACGTCGACACACACGCACATGTAGGATAGACTTGGACACACACGCACATGTAGCATAGACTTGGACACAACTCACATGTTGGATATACGTGGACACACATGCACATGTTGGATATACTTAGACACACACGCACATGTAGCATAGACTTGGACACAAACTCACATGTTGGATAGACTTGGACACAAACTCACATGTTGGATATACTTGGACACACACGCACATGTTGGATATACTTGGACACACACGCACATGTAGCATAGACTTGGACACAAACTCACATGTTGGATATACTTGGACACACACGCACATGTAGGATACACGCACATGTTGGATACACTTGGACACACACGACATGTTGATATACTTGACACGCACACGTACATGTTGGATTGGATATACTTGGACACACACGCACATGTAGGATGACTTGGACACACACGATGTAGGATACACTTGGACACACACGCACATGTCCGCACATGGATATACTTGGACACACACACGCACATGTAAGATATACTTGGACGCACATGTTGGATATACTTGGACACACACGGACACGGATATACGAAACACACGCACATGTAGCATAGACTTGGACACGAACTCACATGTTGGATACACTTGGACACACACGCACATAGGATATACTTGGGATAGACTTGGACTTGACAACACACGCACACATGTAGGATATACTTGGACTTGGACACACGCACATGTTGGATATACTTGGACACACAACACGCACATGTAGGATATACTTGGACACAACGCACATGAAGGATATACTTGGACACACACGCACATGTAGGATATACTTAGATTTACAACACATGAAGGATATACTCAGATTTACAACAACACATAAAGGATATACTCAGGACTTACAACACATGAAGGATATTCGTCTGTCGTCACAAAGACCACCACAAACACCACGGCACGCACAGCGCACATTGACCCACTGATGACCAAATACCCAGCGCTTAAGCTTTGACATCCTCGGTGTTTCAGGATATTATATCTCAATTCTTAATATGATGAATGTTCTTAATCCGGTCGTACCTACATTTCGGTTCTGACCCTCACTAAAAAATAAAAAATAAAAAACCCAAATAAGTTTAAGTTTAATTTTAATTTTAAATGGTCGCCTCATCAAATTTCCCTGATGAGTGAGAGATGTTCAAAGGAAGGTCAGGGTGACGTCAAAATTGAGTGAGTGTGTTTAGTTTTAAGCCGCACTCAGAAATATTCCATGGGGGCGGTCTGTAAATAGTCGAGTCTGGATCAGACAATCCAGAGATCAACAACATCGGCATCGATCTACGTTACTGGCATACAATGACATGTGTCAACCAAGTCAGCGAGCCTAACCACCCGATACCGTTAGTCGCCTCTTACGACAAGCATGCGTTGCTGAAGATCAATTCTAACCCGGATCTTCAAAAGACCTGCAGAACTTTGTCTTTCCTCCTGACACACTGTGATATAGCCAGAATATTGTTCAAAGCGGTGTTAAACGAAACATACAGGCCCGTGGCAGTTATATTCGGACACTTGACGTAATTTCCATAGGCTTACATGTTAATTTATTGTAGCATAAATAATGTTCATGAATGTAATTTTCGTAAGATCCAAGTCAAATTTGTTCATTTGTGAGGAGTCATCTTACCTACAATCACATAATTTCTGTTTAATTTTCCGTTGCTTAATTATCGAAGGGCAACAATGTAATCAGCGTATGCACAGTGCGGAGAACTCCTTTAACATGGCGGCCTATCGGATTGTGCATTGTGGAACCGTACGTAAGTTGATAAATGTGATGTCATTAGTTAAATAGTGGTCGGAAAACTGAACAGAAATTATGTGTGCAAACAGAGATGATTTCACATTTGCCTGTCAAATTTTACAAAGATCCATCCTAAATTCACTTCATAAAAATTATTTATGCTACACGGAAATAACATGTAAGTCTATGGAATTTACGTCAAGTGTACGAATATAACTGGCACGGGTCTGTACATGTACGTAGTGGTCTGCTGACAGACAGACAATTTTATTTATGTCCCACTCGTATTTTCGTAAAATATGCAGCATTATCACAGATAAAAAAGTACAGTCGATTACAGTACTACGACCAGTCGACTTATGAGAGACAATATTACATTAAAAAATACAACAAAAAAACATGATAAAAACATGTACATATCACAACAACAAAAGCAAAGATAAAATTACCTTAACCATATAAAATATCACGACGTTTAGTTAAAATGTCATGGCAGGTTTTGGAGACGATAAAGATTCACATGAAACTTAAGGATATATAAGAAAACATTTCTTCATAAGACAGCATATTAAAATGCAATATTCTGATTGAACAAGAATTAAAAAGATTTTCTCTGATGGTGGTGTAAACGGGGCCGCAAAACAGAACATGGAATTCATCCTCCACTTGGTTAGGACAATTTAAACAAAATCTCTCGTTGTGTGGCAACCTCTCGAGTCTTCTCGTCTCCCCTCTTATTGGGGCCTCTCCACATCGAAATTTCCTGTGATTTCTGGGAAGTTGGCATCGTACATATTTTTCTGTTTCATAATTTTCCTTTAAAAGTCTACATTTCCGTAGCTTATTCTCCCCTTGTCCTCCTTCAACCTTAGATAACTTTCTTTCCAGGATAGCTGATAGTTGTGTAGCAGTTCCCCTTGTATGGCAGCAAGGGATGGCTTTTTCTCTATATTTTCGGCATCCGTTAGGTGTTCGAATTCCAGATTCTCCATGTGACTCCTGACTGTAAAATTCCAATTTTTCCTATAACATGTATTAGCCCATAAATATATTTTCTTGTTTATTCTCCGGCTCGTTGAGTTCACAATTCTTATCCAGTTCCTTAAAACGCACAAACAGTTTCGCACTATCCATGGAAATCAGCCTAGCATAAATACCAGAGCGTTGAAACAAGGTGGCATTGTCACGATAATCTCTAATCATATGCATATTGTCTAACAGTGTTAAGAGCAACCTGTAGCCCTTTAGGTGTGGCGCTGACTAGTGTAGTATCATCAGCGAGCATGATAACTGGAATTTTGAGTACATATACGACAAGACCACAGTCGTTTCTTCTTAGTTCACGGATCAGAGTACTGATATAGACAAGAAAGAGCCACGAGTAGAGCACCCCTTCTTGTTCTACACCTTGTTCAATAGGATAACTATTTGACATTTCTCCACAGTATGTGACATACACAGAGCTCTTGCTGTGACGTTGATAGAGAAGATTCCACAGCTTCCCCCCTATGCCCAGGTCAGCATGCCAAATACGACCATAAGCCGTTTCATTGTCAAGGAAAGCTGCGTAAACAGGTGATTTTTTAGATAGATAATAATCAATACATTTATGTAATGTAGACATAACACCATATTCTTTACGAAATCCAAACTGTAGAGGGTCTGGAGAAAATGGACAGTGTATCTTGCACCACTCTTCCAATCTATGTAAAATTACTTTTTCAAGTACTTTCCCCATGCATCATGTTAAAGTAATGCCTCTATAGTTTTTTTGGATCTGATTTTTCTTTTTTGCCTTTATATATAGAGATTACCATTCCAAGGTTTTCCAGAAGGTTACCGCTTGCAAACAACAAATGATCATTACAAATGCTATCTGGACCTGGGCTTTTATTATTACACAGATTGCGTATTTGTAAGGAGATTTCTCCAGGAACTATAGTTTTGTAGAGCTTTTCATCTGTTCAGTTTAATCATCCGTATTATCCTTGATTGTCTTTAGTCTTTTGTTTATGTGGCTTTTGAAACGATCATTAAAACTTTCAGAGTACATGTAGGGCTGCGACAGGTCGGCGTATTAGTCACCCCATAATTTGAGTATGCCAGATGTAGAAGATTCTGTTTGATAACGGTAGCATAGCTTAGTCACTGGTCTTGATGCTTTTGTTTTCTCACAATTTTGTGAAAAGTATTAACATCTACTTCACAGGACTGTGCTAATTCAGCTCGCACCTCTTTGTTATATCTCCTTTTAGCAATCCTATGTAAAGGTCTAAACTCGCTTTTAGCAGTTTTATATTCAACATATGGTGTGGAATTATGTTCTCTAGGCTTACCACAGGCAGACCAAAGTCGCCTGGCAGCTCTCATTTATAATGGGTATTATGTAAGCCGTTTTTCTTCCAGTAGGGTTTTAGGTGGGAGTTGTAGGAAGAAACTGGAATGGTACGTCCAGCAGACACAAGCAAGGTATTAGTGATAACAGGGTTTTATATTTCCACGTTCCTGGGAGATATAATACCTGCTTGGGAGCTAATATCTTTCAAACAAAGGTCCAGCTGGGATTTATATGGGGCAATGTGCTCACTGTCTGCCTTTGTCCATTTAGTGCACAATGTTGTCATCATATTTACGTTACTACTACATTTCGTGCGGAGGAGTGACACATAGCAGGGCAAGTGGTCAGATGTACCGTAGTTGCAATCATCCAGAACAACACATATTATGACTGACGTTTTCAAGTGAGATGGTGTCATTATGTAGTCAGTAAGTGACCTATGTAAGTTGTCTTTGCTCCTATAGGTAAAACTTGGTCCTCAAGTGCGTACTGTTAACACTGCATTTCTCAAATACCGTTGTTTACTGCGTCTAGGAGTACTAGTTTCTGTCTACAGTATTTGGAGAAACAACAATACACAAAAGAATGTGTCATTATTACATACAATAATTCTTCATGTGTAGTGTATAAATTAGGAGCAACAACAATCTGTAGACATTTCTATCACAAATACATGATTCTTATATTCATAAAAAAATATTGTTTGCCAACGACTTCACAGTTTAGTGAATTCTATAGAAGCTTGAATGGGTATCGTGTTCTTAGCACTTAGGGTCCCCTCACGAGGAGCATGCCTGAACGTGTTGAACACCACCCTGGTAATCCCTAGCCTGTTATCTATACAATGGAACAGCTCAGGTGCGCTTCAACAATGAATAAGGTCTCCCTCTATTGTTAGCCTGTTAGCCTGCCTCACCTCTTGATAAAACATATTAATTCAGGGCATTTCAATAGCTGGGAAATCGCTAAAGCCGCAACGTGTGTGCATGAACACGAAGGCTGACTTCAGTGAATTTGAATACAGAATTGAAAAAGCTTGTTCTGAGAGATTGAATGAGGAAGTCATTCTCAAATACTGCCCATCAATACATTGCATATTATTTCCTGCTGTGTGCCGTTACAGAGTCGACATGGCGACTTTGTCTGGATATACGACGGTATTGGCGTGTTATAGTGGTGTCCTATGACTACAGCAATGTGCGTGGCGTTGGGTGCAGGGGGATTCGTTTATCACTTGGTGCTTCCTTGTAAAAACTTTGTTTACATCCGTTAATCAGGAGAGTTGTGTTAAAGATGAGGGACTGAGATTGAGTCTCCTGTGGATAAGCATTTATGATCCAAATTCATTTCATTGTTGTATTTAAGAAAATGTGTGCGATTTTTGTGCTACGTTACATTAATGTTATATTTAAAACGTTCCTAAAATATGTAAAGAGATACTGGGTTGTTAACATCGCACTTGCCACTCAGCACATAGCACAGCTCAAGCATATATGCTTAAACAGATGTTAGTTACGTAGATATTAAATACAAATAGAGGCATATTATAGCTCATCTTTATTACCAATCTTATATATATATTGAATATCCCTTTTAAGTAACAGCTCATGTTTGTGTCACCTAGTTTGTTGTCAATATGAATAATTATTCTACGTGAATCCTGGTATGTGTCTGACAACGGTTCACACGTTTTACTGGAAAGTGTTAAAGTTTGAATGATAAAACACTGAATCCAAGACATTAATACTGAACGCTATTTTCACATTCCTCTATCTAAAGCTCTTTTGTCTTGCACATTAATTATTAATACACTACTTAAATCTACCATGTGCTAGTCAGTGTTCACATTTTATCATTTTGATTAAATGTTTTTAAAAAGATCAGTGGCAGTTGACTTATCAGGGTAGAAAACCCCTTTTTTCCATTAACAATAATGGTCGCTCTCTCTCTTTGCTTGTCTTTGATTGTTCTGTCAGCAATCTTATGCGTCTGATAAATGGGGTTATAATGGAAAGGTTACATTTGGATTTGTGCATTCAATTGGTTAAGAAATCAATGTGTAGTTGCTCATGCATAGTTCCATGCTTTTGAGGCAGTAAATTATGATTAAATACTAGTGTAAGAGTCTTGTGATTGATAATAATATTGTATGGGGATATTATAAGTATTTTGTAAGAGGAGGTTGTGTAAAGAATTGGGCGTATTTTGTCAAGCATTAGATTGGGTGAAATGTAGTTAATGCAGGAATTGGTATTATTTATCAGTTATAAAACAAACGACTATCCACTTTATCGTGTTGTACAACTAACAGTTGTCTAATGTCAGCCCTCCAGCAATAGATATACATCAAGAAACAAGAAAGACATACAGATTTCACAAGTCATCATATCTGTTAGCTTCCATTAGGATAGGAGCACTCCCAAAGTCTACTTTACATCTTTTGTCAATGTCTTATTGCCCCTCTTCATCCTCTTGTGCTTCACTCTCTGTATCAGATAGCATGACTTCATCATCTTCAGTCAAGTCCTCCAGGTTTGAAAACATGATGCATATTATTCGTAATAAACCGTGCATACGTCTCTTTAAAAGTGCTCCATATTAATTTCTCCAGTTTGGCTTCAATCCTGTCGTCGGTTAAACCTCTTTTGATGTACAGCTGTCGCTTCTCATCCAAAAAGGCTTTATTTAACTCACGCACACGTGAATACATTTGTCTTTTACCTTGCTCTTCAAGATCAACCATCTTATATCATTTTCTAATGTCGTCTGTGACGTCTGTGATTCATCATCATTATTTTCCATTTCAGGACATTGTTTATTGTGTACATGTCTTTGTAAGTTGTGGTTATTGCTAAACACCTGACCACAGTAGTCACAGTCTGCCAGATGACGTGGTGTCTTCACAGCAGAGAAGTTGTCTTCCTCCCACTTTCTTTGGAGTCCCACTTGGGATATCTCAGGCGAACCCACAGAGGACTTTTCAGGACAGCAGTTTTGTCTGTGTTTTGCAAGTCGTGCGTTTTTTGAAACACGAGTCATCACAAGATGGCATTGTTGGGAGCTTTTCTTCACAAGTCTGCTCACTCTGAAAGTCTAAGTCGGACTGATGTGTCCTGGCTTGGAGTTCTCCTTTAAACTGAGTGCATTGGGACAAAGTCGCAAATGGGGAGGTGTTTGTTGTTTTAGATCTACCAACAAGGTTTCTAGGTAACCCTTTGAAACTGGTCCATGAAATATGTATAGTATTCTGGAAACATTTGCCTTGCCAAAGTCATGATGGGTTGTTTATCGATAGGGTTGTTGAACAGAAGCATGATAATGACAATTTCTTTTTTGAGTAGGTCTGTAATACAAAATCTGGTTCAAGGCTCATCACTAAGAGATTACGATGATGACTTCCTTTGGTAAAAAGATCTGTGATATTAGGATCTTAGGCAGCCATAGACATGAGATCATCGAGGACAATGACGTGCACAACACAGGGGTCCAGAAATGCATTCTTTCTGAGGTCAGAAGGAATGCCTTGATGAAATTCAACACTTGGATAAACACAAGTTTGAATGGCATTATACAGTGGCTGCCAACTTTTGTAGAGCCATATAATAAGTTCATGATAAAGTTTATTCTTCATCCTTTCCAGAATCTGCTTCACTAAGTAGGTTTTCCCACAGGAGGTGGGTCCTGACACAATCATGGTAAATGGATGTAGTAGCCTAAATTCTCCCAAAGACTGTATAACACTTTCTGATGAATGCTCTGGTTGCATCATAGATGGTGGTTGAGGATGAGGTGGATGATGATGAGGAGGAGAGGTGAAGCCATATTGTCTGTCATGGAAAAGGTTTCACCATAATGTGGACAGAGATGCATGATGATGATGTTCACACATCGGCAGTCCTACTACAAATGAAGTATTCAATGACAAATTTAGTCTTTTGGATAATTTAAAATTTACTGTAATTCTCTGTGAAAATACAGGGAGCCAAACGTGAAATTATTCCATGGACATCAGTTAGATAGATGGGGTGGTTGGGTAGTTGTTCTAGTGTACAATCCATTTGTTAGTTACTTTGTTTAGAACCGACAGCATTTGCCAGGTTTTTCTAATACGAAAACCTAAGCTATGGCACAATGGATGATCAGTTTCAATTAACGAGGTGTGAATAGCGCAAGCTTATTAGTGCTTAATTAACTAAGTGTTAACGTTCTACGCTCTGCGTATCACTAGCTTCTACCGGCCTCTATGTTTATCCTTGTAATCCTTTGTTATCCCTTTATTCGTTATCATCACTTGTTAATTAGTCCTCTGTTGTATATATATATATCACCTGTTCTCTCCCCTGTATCTAAACGTCGTGCTCCAGAATTAAAGAAGTTGTCATCCATATATACTTGTTCTATCTAGCTGTTAACGGGGTCTAATTAATTGTTAAATCGCTACTGATGGCATTGTGGTAATCTCTTCTGCTCGCCTGCCGATTTTGCACCATATCGCTACTGATGGTATTGCCTGCCTTTTATACTTTTTTAATATCAGTTATCAGCAGTCATGTCACTTATCAAACTTTCAGCATGGAGATAAGAGGGGATATTGTAGACAGCAGACAGATAGTCTCAAGCACAACCGGACAACACAGAACAAGATCGGAACTGTGCTGTAAACTGTACCAAATAAGATTGCAGAAAACTCTCACTATTGGTTTACATTTGATTGTTGATGACGATGACCATATGAAAACTGACGACGATGATGGCGATGACACTGATCAGGGTAAAAAAGACAACGAGCGAGGACTTGTATGGAGAGCGCTTGTCTAAGTTGTATGGGAAGCTGGAGGGGTACTGCTCACAAATCCTCGTCCTTTGCTTTAATTCGGCTCATAACGAGTGAGTGAGTGAGTGAGTTAGTTATTTAACGTCACATCGGCAATATTTCAGCCATATCGTGACGAGAACATTTGACATTGAAATGGAAGATATAGATTATAAAAACCTGCCGACGAAGGACAGTAAAACAACTAGAATATCACAGATATACATGTAAAACTAGTAATTAAATCTAAAACATTTAACTCCAGGGGACAACACAATATAAAATAGGCTATAGATCGCCAACAACTGAAGGCAGAACACCATATTAGGGACCATGGGGACTTACAGTACATTTGCTTCCTGCATGGACCCTAGCTGGATTTACACCATCCCTTCAGCTATCAGCAAGTTTAGACAATTTAGCCATAAGTTAAAATAACACATATTCTTCGGTTACAAATAATAGTATGTTTAAATTGACTTTGAATGTTTTGGGACTTACGTACCCCCACAGCAGGACAATAAGTTTACAATGCTTCAACCCCCTGTGAGGATACAGCCACTCACAATCTCAGCTGCTCAACTAAACTACCAATTTTAAAATATTTATCTATTTACAATTCATTCAACAAATCTAATTCTTTAAAAATGCAAGAACTAAATGAGAACTGATATCAGTAAAAAGACCCTTCATCGTTCGTGATTTGAAATAGTTATCCCTTGTGATGGAATATTCAATACAGTCAAGCAGGACATGCTTGACCGTGATTCTTTCATCACAAGGGATACAAAACGGAGGATCCTCATCTTTTAACAGGTATTCATGAGTATATCTAGTATGGCCAATGCGACATCGTCGTATGATGACCTCTTCAAATCTGGACTGACAACCCAAGTAGGTATAACCAACATAAGGTTTTATTGCATGTAATTTATTAAGTCCCACTTGAGTGTCCCACTTCTTCTGAATCAGATCGCGGATATAACATCTGATGACTGCTTTATAATCAGAGTATAGAATAAGAAGTGGTGTCACAGATTTGTTGAGTACTGCCTTGGCAGCAAGATCGGCCATTGTATTCCCAGAAATGCCAACATGGCTGGGTAACCAATAAAAGATGATGTTGTATTGGCCAGTAGCAAACTCATTATATCATTCAATAATTTCTATTAAAAGTGGATGTTTACAAGAAAGATTTTTTATAGCCTGAATGCAAAAAAAGAGAGTCAGAAAAGATTATATATTGTTTATGTTTAGGGTGTCTTTGAATATATTTAAGGGCTGTTAATATGGCTGTTTGCTTCGGCTGTAAAAATAGAGCTGTTGTCCAGTATTCTAGAAGATATTGTTCTGAACCCAATGACAGTGGCACAAGCCACCGCGCCACCATCCTTGGACCCATCTGTAAATAAGGCTCTATATGCATTATATTTACTTTTAGTAGATTATATTCTTGTTTATATTGTAATTCATTAGTTTCGGATGTTTTAAACGTTGTCAGTGTTAGGTCAACTTGTGGCCTCACAATTGCCAATGAGGAGAAGAAAGAAGACGGGAAGGGGATATATTTTCTAGCTCAATGCCAGCAGCGGAAAGGAAAGGTTTGACTCTTAGTCCTAGAGGTGGAACAAGAGAAGACTTTTTATTGTACAGATCCTCATTAAGAGGATTGAAAACACAGTCAAATACAGGATTAGACTCATTAGAATAGAGTTTTGTTATATACTGTAAGGATAATTTTATACGACGTTGGTTAAGCGATGGCCCATCGGCCTCAACACAGAGACTGTCAACAGGGAAAGTTCTAAGAGACCCAAGACAAAGTCTTATGCCTTGTTGGTGAATAGAATCTAATAGTTTTAGGTTTCTGTTGCAGGCTCCACCATTAGAAACTACTTTCAATAAATCCAGTGCCTTTAGGCATTTATTTTTAAGGGATTTAATATGCGGCAGAAAAGTTAAATGGGATTGGAAAATTAGACCCAAGAACTTGGCCTCCTTGACAACTTTGATTGGAGTGCCATTTAAATTTAGTTCTGGGTCCTTATGTGGTTTATATTTTCTACAGAAGTGTATACAATCAGTTTTTGAGTTAGAAAATTTAAAGCCGTTTTCAAGAGACCATTTATTTATTTTGTTTAAACACAATTGTAGCTGCCGTTCAATAGTATGCATATTTTCACCACGACAAGAAATATTAAAATCATCCACAAACAGCGACCCATCGATTGAATCATTTAAAACCTTGGACAAACTATTTATCTTGATACTGAAAAGTGCTTCCTTGTGGAACACCCTGATCCTGATTGTAATGATCAGAGAGGGTAGAACCCACGCGGACTTGAAATTGCCTGTCAGTTAAAAACTTGGATATGAATTGAGGCAATCCAAAATCGTGTAAATCTTTTAAAATCCCCTGTTTCCAAGTAGTGTCATATGCTTTTTCTAAATTGAAAAAAATCGACACTGCATGTTGTTTTTTGAATAATGGCATTTTAACAAAGGATTCTAAACGCACTAAATGATCAATAGTACTTCTGTTTTTTACGGAAACCACATTGAATATCTGTTATAAGGTTATTGGTTTCCAAGAACCAAACAAGTCGATTATTTATTATTCGTTCCATGGTTTTGCAAACACAGCTACTGAGTGAAATAGGTCTATAACTTGACGGATCCGTATGATCACGTCCAGGTTTAGGTATTGGTACTACTATAGGGTCACGCCATGATGGTCACGTCCAGGTTTAGGGATGGGAACAATAATAGCATCGCGCCATGAAGATGGAAACTTTCCAGATGTCCAAATATTATCAAAAATGTTTAAGAGGGTCTCTAAACATGATTCCGGAAAGAGCTTCAGAAGCTGATAATGTATGTTATCAGCCCCTGTAGCAGTATCGTGAGCCTGGTCAAGAGCAGTATGAAGCTCATGAATAGAAAATAGTTCATTGTCATCTTCCCCCATTATCTGACTTGAAATTAATAGTTTTCTTTTCCTGTTTTTTTTCTTCTAATTTTGGAATTGAGGTAGATAATTCGATGAGGAAGAGTGTTTGGCCAAAGTTTCTCCATGTTTATTTGCAATATCAGATTGACTAGTTTATAATTCGTCTCCATCTTTAAGATGCTTAATGCTAGATTTAGAACCCTTACCTTTTATTTTCTGGATCATATTCCATACTTTTGATATCGGCGTTCGTGAATTAATGTTTGATACATAATTTCACCAGGATTCACGTTTACTTTGCTTGAAGGTATGCCGTGCCTTAGCATTTCTATTTTACAATGTATTCAAATTATGGACCATAGGATGGCGAGGGAAATAATTCTCATGGTTTTCGTATGTGTGGAATTGCAGAGGATTTGGGAATACACTCATCAGCAATGTTAATGAGTTCATCAGAGAAATCTGTAATAGGATCAGGACTTTCTATAAGAAAGTTCAGGTTTAAGTCTGTTACAACACAGAGCTTGATACAAAGGCCAGTTAGCCTTTTTAAAATTCCATCTTGAAGATGGGGTAACATCAGATGGGTTCACGGATGTTGGAATTGTAGGAAAATGGTCACTTCCACTGAGGTCATCGTGAACTGATCATTCAAATTCATTCAGGAGGTTTGAATCCATGATTGATAAATCAAGCGCCAAATAAGTTCCAGTGCTAGGATGTGAATAGGTGTTGGAACCGTCAATTTATATGCATAAATCATTATCTGAACAGACCTCTTCTAACAGTTTACCTTCAGCATTAGTAGTTGTACCACCCCAAAGTGGGTTGTGGCCATTTAAGTCCCCCATAATAATACAGGGTTTTGGTAATTGGTCATAAAGAGTTTGAAGATCAGTCTTCTGAATGATTGAAGACGGTGAGATATACAAAGAGCATAATGTAAATGCAACGTGTAAAGTGAGTCGCGATGCAACTGCTTGAAGATTAGAAGTCAGTGTTATAGAGCTATGGATAACAGTCTGTTTGACTAGGATTGAAGATCCTCCAGTG